TGCCAACTAATGGGCACAATTATTCAGAAGTTTATAGCAGATGGTAAGCTCCATTAAATATCATATATCGATATTATCAAAATATTGTTTAAATGCTTGCATGTCGGATAAACAATAGTATAAATTTGTACTTGTACATATTCTACAGAAGACGAATCTATTCGAAACATTGAGATACTCTCAACAATTCAGTACCTTCTCATAAGTATTAACGTGCCTACCGCCAATTTATGCTATTGGTATTCTGATCCTTGAAATGTTAGTGTTTACTGTTATTCATTATGTCATATCAATTAATTAATCATCAGCTTGATTGATTCATAATGATGGTGTAGACGAAGGCTTTCTTTGACTCCATGATCAAAGTCACAAACATCACTGTTATTATTGTATCGTCATAGTCATCTAAAGACTTAATTTAATTGAATTTTCCTATGTTCATTTTCAGGTCATACATTCATTGAACCTGAAATTGTACAAGAGCGGTACGAACCCGGAACATAGTAAGTTGCATTGGAGTAATGTCACAAAATTTGTGGTATGATGACAAATTGTAGTGACGATGCCTCGAGTATGCTGCGGCTCTCTGCTGCTGGTGATGATGATGAGAACGATGATGATGATGATGAAAAATATGGTGATGAAGATAATACTGACAATGATGGTGATAATGATGGTGAAAATGATGATGATGATGAGAATGACGATGATGATGATGATGACGATAATGATGAAGATGATGATGATGATGATGAAAATGTGATAAAAATAATACTGGCAATGATGATGACGGAGATGATAATGATATGATGTTGATGAATCATACGTGTTATTAGAAAGTTTAAGGTGGCCCCAAGCACTATCGCCATAAATGATAGTTATATACTATTACATAATGCTATATATATGACGCGACATATAATTACAATAATCATTATGTAAACAATCAAAAAAATCAACTCTATATCTGTCGCCTGTATCACTTGTAGTGTACGCATGAGAATCAAAACAGAATATTGTTGTTCAATGAAGGCTAGACTGTTAAACAATTTACGCGTCAAAGTAAGCCTATTGTTATCTGTGGAAGTTTAGCATGCTTATTGATCATACCTGAGTTTGTTAATGTTATCGATTAATATTGCATCGATTATGTAGCTGATATTGGCAGTCTCACACTTTCGATAGTTTCAGTCTTTCTTGCACCTGTTGATAGAAATGTCATTCACCCCATGTTCATGTTAGAACGCGCATGGATCTTGTGGAAATAATTAATTAAAAATTGCCCCATGGCCGGTTGTCTTGGAGTGAGAATTCATGTTCTTCCTCTGGTCTACGTACATGCGTAGGCAAAACAATTGTTTATGGTATAGACCGTAAGCTTGTATCTGAAATACAAATCTATGGTGAGAGCCAATCTCGCCATTGTTTCAATAATGATAGTAAGCGGCATTTCATGTTATACCGGTTAGCATCGGTATAAAGCATTCAGATTGTGAATTTTCTTCTTTGTTTTGAGCACATTTAAATTGTCATATATTCCTAAAATATTTAACGAGTTCATCGAGTCTTTTTTCGGTTAGTTCGCGGTCATGAATTGGTCAAGTGGTTCTCAAGTACATCCTGACCATATTCTTTCTCTAATATTACCACAATTATATGTAAAATATCCGTGACCGGACAAAATAACATAATTGTAAACAAAGGCCGAGTAGGTTACAGCATTTTGTTTTTAATTACTGTTCTATATTTTGTGAAAGTGAAAATGTTAATTATTTTGTTAACAGTGATAAAGAATATCATGTACCAGATGACCAGGTCGTCAAGGCGCGTGGGTTACCATGGCAAGCATCTGACCGTGATGTATTCAAATTCTTTAAAGGCCTCAACGTTGCTAAGTGAGTATTACTCCATAAAAAAAAAACTACAAATATTTATTAAATATTCATTGAATTATGAATATAAAATTATATTCAATTGTAAATTAAAATTAATTATTTTGCTTAAATATGTGATGCATTGATCATAATTTGTATTGGGGTCAGTTATAGTGCTGTGTTTCGTTATTTTTTATGCGCGTTTTGATTTGACGTCGTATATGCTTTAATACTATCTTCAATGTATTTTATTAATCTTTAAAGTATCATCTATTATTTTGTTGTGTTTTCAACTCACCATATTTATGTGTTCAACTTCAAGTTGACTCTGTT